AAGCTGCCTTAAGCATCATCAGCCTATATATGCACAGTGCGTTTTCTCTTTCTCATTACTTGAAAGAAATAAATGGTTTCATCACAGGAGTTCCCTCTGCCTACACCTGCTAAGAATAGTCTAGAAGGAAAGAGGAATTTCTGGATCTTTAGATTTTTACCGATACACTGATCAAAATTCATGCTAGAAATCACTCTCTGCCTCTCCCACTTCTGCTCTCAGTCTGTGCAAGGAGGAGATCTTATGTCACATATATTCATGGAGAGCTGCATGCTGTAAAATAATGTATTTTATTGCACAAGTGTGCAGGGAAAGCTGGAGATTAATGCCCTGTTCAGGGTTTGTTTTACTATGTACCACGGAGATGACTCCTGAGCGCTACTGCATCAGGGCTATCTAGGGATAGAAGGGCTGCCAGGCTGAGGGAGTGGCACGATTCCTCCAAGGATGGCCCTTAAAAACTTTTATTGGTCTTCTTGGGCTCAACTAACAGCTTCTCTTCCCTTGGCTTCATAAAGATTTGTAGAGCGTTAACTGAAATTTGACCCTGAGTATATGATACTAGTTTTGCTGTGTAATAAGCATTGGTAGTGTCAGATGTATTGTGGCAAATCTGCTCTTTGTTAGAGAGCTACATGCCAAAATCAGTTTGCAAAACACACTACAAAAAGGATGAAATGCTGCTTATAATGCAAAGCCCACTGAAATCTACATATTGTTGCTATATTTATTAACAGCCAGAACATATTATCTGAGATATTATGGTAAGACATAGCAACTGCCATAAAGCAGCACTGTCACATAAATTCACCAAAGTACCCAGCTTGAAATAATGACTTTGCTCATCTATAACTTTACATTATTGATTTGGTTTGCTGAACTGAAGAAAGACTATGGACTAATTCCAAAAGAACTACTGAGAAGTTTGGAAGCTCAGTCAATATAAAGCTAGCAGCAAGAAAGCAATTTTCCTGAGAAAGAAATAGTCATACTCGGTTATTTTATAAATATGCAAGCAAATTACATTCTATTTAAGTAAATAAGAACTAATGTCAAACATGGGGCTCTTCGTGCCTGATTGTCATGATTTTCACTGGCAAGATTTGTTTTCTTCTATGACTATGGTGGACCTGAAACAAAGTGGCAACACAGTAGGATGCTTTCCAGTTTTAGAGGACTTGAAAAGCAAAGCTTTCATACGGGCATTCCAGACTGTCCGATGACCCAGCCACATAAGGGTAATTTCTAAGACAACAAGCTTAAAAACAGATTAAAAAAATAGTTCCTCCCCAAAACAGCAACTAGTTGATTTCCTTCAGCTCGTGATTAAACCTTGGCATTGCTAACCTCCCCTGGCAGACTTAGATTCAGAGAAGATATTGGGGCATTCAGTATCACCCTGTCACTCCCAGCTCCTGGCACTCTGACTCCTCAGTCAGGCACTGTGGATAGCTGGACCCTCACCTCAGAGAAGAGATCTGCAGCACTGACATGTGTCCTAGGCAGCTGTCTGCACTGCCTGCAGTCAACGGAGAGGAACACTTATGGGCTGGAGTCTCTCTCTCTGCCCCTAAATTAGACAGCTAGAATAGGTCAAAAGAATTACTGCCCGGACACACCACCTGCTATTCATCCCATATGGAGGGAGGGAAGACAGCAAGCTCAGATGTAGTTATCTACATTGCAGATGTCTAACTAGGCAAGACATATCTTTAAGCCCCCAGACAGCACAGAGGGAAAGCCAGGAGCCTCACCAAGAAAATGCTATGTCCCACAGCCCCACACATTGCATGAGGGGCTGCACAGGACCAACTCACAGTAAATACCTACCAGAGCTTATTTGAAATCCATCTCTGCCCCTGGAGAATAGGCTGCAATAGGCAAATATATATACATACATACATGTATGTATATTCATAATCCTTCTGCAGGATAATTTAAAACATGTTTGAAAATCAACTGGAAAAAGGTAAACTTCTGTCTCATACCTTCTACCAGCATCTACAAACTAGGGTTGGCATTTTGTTTAACAAAGACAAGATTGCACAACAGGATTCTGGTGTGAGGAAAGGATGCTGTCATCCCTTTGGAGGTGCCATGCTGTACTACCTAGCTAATATCCCACAAGAAGAGTAGACTCTCAGCAATAAGTAATTTTTTTGTTTGTTTTTAACTGTATTCACAAGAAATACTCATGAGCTCACGTAAGAAAGAACACACTCCACGGGACAGTCTTCTAGCCTCTGAGTTCCAGCCTGCCTCACTCAGGCACTTGGCTTAACGCTCTACTGCCTACTGAAGCAATCTTTTTATGCATGCCCCTATGCTGTCTGGTTACTCAGCAGAACAGTAGGTGCCTTTCCACGTCCTCAGAGGAAATTCCTGTCTGCTAAGTTTAGATGTTGAAATTGAGCACACAGGATCTCCTTTTGGAAGGCTTCAAAGGCATTTTCCTCCCTGCAACAAGGGTATGTAGAATGCAGGCTTTTATTATCAGTGGAATGCTTTGCTAAACATCTAATAATAAGGTACATGTTAGATGCCTACATTAAGAACAGAGCCAGCCTGTAAGGCAATATGGCAATATATTATAGCCCAACAAATAAATAAATAAAGTGGAGTTGCTATAATGTCCTAATGTCTCTTTTCAGCTCGGCAGCTGTACGTGTGGTGTCTGAGACTGAGAACAAAGTAAGAAAGATGACAAAGTGCAGATCACAGTCAAATTAGATTTTCCTAATGGGGCTTTTGAAATAAACTAACAGATTACTGTTTAAATAAAACCTGTAACAAGGATGAGTTGATGTTACATTATTAAATTTCTTAATGTAATTCTTAAGCTCCAGAGCCAGCCAAGTAATATTCATCCCATTTACCTTCAGAAACAGTGGAATGCATTGTAGAAAAGCTAAACAAGCTTTTCATTATTTGACCAATTCTCTAAGTGTTCAAGCAGTATCAATCACAAGGAATATATTTGCCTGCCAGTCAGTCATATGTTAGAAGCATTTGCTAGCACCTCATGCTACCTCTTTTCCTTAATTAGACAGAACCATTTAGTGCAAAATCATGACAGGTTGTTTTATTTTTCTGGCATATTATGTGTGCTATAAACTGAGAAAAAAATACTTAGCACTTCAGGGTCTGGTGTTGTAACTAGCGAATTCAAAATATGTGTGAAGCCTGCCTATCAAGCAATAGTGTTACTGGTGAAGAAACCTTCCCTTCTTCTATCAACATCAGTAAGGGGAGCACGCTAATTACAGTGAGAGCGAACATCTTGCCTTGCCCACAGAGAATTCCTTTTCTGATTAAGGGATGTATAGGTTTGAGGTTAGTCCACTCGACTACAAAAAGAATTAGTGGATGCCTGGTGAAAACCCAAAAAAGTAGTTCCTCCACAAACATGGTTGAGTTTCCTCTCAGGAAATATAACAGCGCTTTGGAAACACCAGCGCTTTTGGCTACTGATGGCCAGGAAGACAAAGCAAAGCTAAGTACTTTTATTTAAGGCATTTAAAATACATGGGTAATAAATTATATAATAACAATGTCTAATGGCCTTTATTATACCCCATCCTATTTAATAACAACCTGAATGTCTGTATTTTGAACCTCTCAGATAAAGTAATGTGTTTTGTGGGTCTAGCACAGGCTTCAGTGCCTGGAGGCTCTAGTTCTATTTCTAGCTCTGCTTCAGACCTACAGGGTGACCTTTACACGTAACCTCATTTTCCTCACCTATAAAATGGGGTTATTAATACTTATTTACCTCACAGTTGGTTCCCTTTCAGCTGCTACAGTGACTGAGCAAGCTCATGCATCCACAGAATGGCTAATGCTCATTATGAACTTTTTTTTCTTTAAAAAAGCAATGCAGACATTAAGAAGTTATTTGTCCATCCAGTGAGTCAAAGTACACAGGAAAATAACAGCAATGGAAAAACTGTTCAAAGCCCCTTGCTAACTTCCTTTCATTGACGCTGTCCTTCAAGAGAAATGCAGGTAGTTCCTACTTGACAGAAACTAGAGGAAACTTCTTGGAAAAGGAAGTCAAGTTTTCAGAATGAAAGTCTAACCTGGTCTCTGGAGAGGACCACTGCAAATTTTTCAAGTAAATATAAAGGGGAAGAAACAATTTCAAGAGGGAGGGAGGGAAGGAGGGAAGGAGGGAGGGAAGGAAGGAGGGAAGGAAGGAGGGAAGGAAGGAGGGAAGGAGGGAAGGAAGGAGGGAAGGAAGGAGGGAAGGAAGGAGGGAAGGCAGGCAGGCAGGCAGGCAG